AACGGCAAAGCAGTTATAAGTGACTCACAGAATTGTGCGCAGTTGCGTACACAGCACACGACTTCCCTGAAGGCATTCATCTTCAGCGAGCGCGATGCCGATCACACAACGCGGTTCGAATTCGACCCTCGATCGATGGCTGCGCCATCGCCGCACACGCGTCGAATAAAAAGCAAGCGACAAGTCCTTACTCACTAACAACTCCTCTATCATTTTTCATTGCTGGAAGGGTTTCCCCCCCCCTACCTGAAAATCCTGGCTCCGCCATTGCATGCATGATAAGCCACTTCATTGACCTATCATTTGTGGCCACGTCGCTTCTAATAAGTATAACCCGTAAAAACAAAGTTTTTCACTATAAACCCTTTATATGCGTGGCAGCGAACTTAATATAGAGGATTTAAAAATATATTCGCCTGTGGAGGACGCGGGGATCGATCCCGCGACCTTTGGCATGGGAAGCGAGGGCGCTACCAACTTCGCTACTCCGCCACGGCCTGTGGAGGGGTTACGCTCTGGGCTCTTACACTGTGCGTTCTATTTGAATATATGTAAAATAAATATTTTGTTGCCTAAAAAGTGTAACATTTTGGGAATTTTTTTTCACGAACATTAATTGTCTCGCACAACGTGTCTGTGTGGAAAATGTCAGCTCGATTGGATCACGGGAAGTGGGTTAAAAAACGACCGAAAGATTTGCACGGTCGTAAGCAAGCAAGCAAGCAAGCGCGCAAGTGAACTTAATATAAAGGATTTAAAAAAAAAGTTACGTAGTTCAATGGGGCCTTACCTGCTAATATAAAAATAGTATTTTTTGTATTTTAACATTTCATAGCGTGAGCGAGCTATGGCGGAGCTGCACTTTTACCGTTTACAACTCGCTGCAGTCAAATGCCCCCCTCCCTGCCGATACCGATTAAGTAAACACAATAATAACATTACAGAGCTGCTTGAAAACAAACAAAACTCAATTTAAATACCAACCTTTTCAAACAGTCGAGGAAATATATTGTTTTGGTTATGACATCCAGTCAAAATTAACCTTTATTTAGCTTTACTTGTGGCAAGCCTGTAATTAGCATTGGAATTAAAGGAAGAATGGGGTAATTTCAAGCTTGTATTCAGCCTTTACAATGGCCAATCATTGCAGGGCTTGGGCGCCCACTATTATGTATTGCTCTGTACTTGATTATGGTAAATTGGGCTTCAGGCACAACGGTGCATCACACTTGAGTTATTTAATTCCTTTCATATCAAAAATGGAGCATTCAATCATCAACCACGTATTATGCATACCAAGTTTCTGCCCACAGCTGAGCAGATAATAGTCTTGAGGATAGCTTAGGCATTTTAATGTAACAGTAGCCGAAGCATTTATAGCCAGTCAATGTTGGTGCACGCCATTAATCCAGCGCTCTGGAGGCGAGGGTTGGCGTATCACAAAAAAGTTTTTCAACTTCCTTCCCGTGGGCATTGAGGTGCCATGCCTCAGCCAGGAGAAGGCGGTACAGCGACACGTGGGCTCCACCGCTCCTTCTGTACGGGGATAGAGCGTTGCCCCCTCGCACACGTGGGCTTTCTCCGGGTACTCTGGTTTCCTCCCACATGTAAACAAGACACTCGTCAATTGGCCGATAACAAGTTAATCTTTCGATTTAAAGCTTTCGTGACTGCAGGGATTCATCTTCTTGGTTCTTTCGGTAAAGTCACGTAGAATGGAAATAATAAAACAATAAAAATAAAACAATAATATAATTCTCACGACGTTTCGGCCACAACGCCAGCAGCCGTCCTCAGGTGAAGAACAGGTTTGTCGAGAAGACAGAGTCTGTCTTGCGTTGTGGCCGAAACGTCGTGAGAATTATTTTATTACGTTTTATTTTAATTATTTTATTATTTTCATTCTACATGACTTTACCGAAAGAACCAAGAAGAACAAGTTAATCTACCGAGGACCTTACCGCCTGCAGGGGATATTAATTTCTGCTTGTCTACGGTTCCTCGCCCCTCTGAGTCGTCGGTCTCTTTTCTAGAGTTGGAAAATACCGTGCGTGTTACAAGCTGAAATTACCATGAGGCTAAGTTTCACAGTAGGGAGGGGGGGGGGGGCAATGTTGCCATTCATTTTTCCAAATGGAGTGGTTTTGCAGGTACATTTTCAACTTATTCTTTGGGTCTTTCGGTAAAGTCACATAGACATTATAATCTCTCCGATCTTGCAAATTTCTCACATTAACATCAATAGCCCCGCCCACTTCGTTTATGACCCTTGGGCTACACCCATTTCAAACCTTTAAAACAGCCTGCTTCAGCAGCTTTCCCCCTCTTTTTTCTCCTGATGACGATTGCTTGTGTTGCGATCGAAACGTTGTGATATTTTTATTATTTTTTATTCACTTTTTTCCCAATTATTTTCATTATTTTATTGTTATAATTTTAAGTGACTTTACCGAAAGACCCAAAGAATATGAATTCCTGCATTCACGAAAGCTTTAAGTCAACATTTTCAACCGTTGCAGATTTGGACGATGATGCCAGCACACACGTGGCCTACTCCCCAAATCAAATCACGGGGTTGACGACAAAAAGCAGCGAGCGTGATACTGATCAGCCCATGATGCTAATACAGGTTTACAATATCGCGCAGAGTGCCCTGGATTTGATACCGAAGTGCGATGTTCTCCTGTGTTCCGGGGGCTTCGAGGAGCAAGAGTTAGGACAGTATGATAAAATAAAAAAGCTGTACTTATGGTGTTTTACTTTCACAATAGGCTGGTAACCCATCGAGCAACAGAAACGATCTTACGCAATGGTGATACCACCTGATTCTAATACTGAGATGCTGATGGACTGCACTATAGCTAGCAAAGAGCATTCGGAATCTGTTCTATAAGACGAGGGTATAATAGGCTGCAGCACCCCAGTCAACTTCCTCCGACGACCCTAATTCCTGACCCGACTCCAACGTCTCGCTCTCTATGTGCACCTAACCACATCTCTCCCCCGGCCCTACGCTGTGCTCCTCCATCAGTTCAACTATCCGGCCATCAGACCTCTCCCCCTACCACCCTTCGCCTACCCTCATCCATGCCCATTGCACCACTTCCGCGTGCGCCCCATACCCCACTACCTCTCATCCACACTGCACCCATCAGACACCCTCACTCACCATCACACTCCACCGTATTCTGCCGTACCTACCCCAGCAACATCAGCTCCATTCCCAGCGCCTGTCCCTCCATCTATTCCATCACCTCCCTCTCTGAACGCTGTCGGCTTGCATTTAAAGCACCCTGGAAAGGGCATTATATAAATCCAAAATAGAATAGAATAGAAACCGATACAGATCGCAGTGTAGTTGTCTGCTATATATGTCATCCCCCATATATATAAAAAAAAAACCTGTGCTGTCCAAACTAGACACTCCACCCTTGTGTGGTTGTGTGAAGACTTGCAATCATGCACATATTTTGGTGCTGGGGAGTCACTGTAATTGAATATATTTTACTTTTGTGCTGCTGTGGAGTGTTTAATCTCAAGTGTCTCCCATTGTTATGACAATCTGGGTGCCTGCAGCACATGGGTTCCGAGAGATCCATTTAAAATTCACTTCGATGTGCGGTACACGTTTCTAAACATTATCAGTATGTATGTAGAACTTCTTTTGCACCATACATAGCCTCCCATGCTAATCGGAGGTACGATATAATTATTCATGCGTCGAACCAAAAAAAGGTTTCAATGAGTCTTGACGCTACTTTTCAAGAGGGTTCAACGATGAGATTTTGGGCCAATCCATTGCTGAGTAATTCAGCACGTGGGATGATTCTGGACAATGGGGAACAAATCCCCGAGTAAAAGGGCAGAACACTCGAGAATTGGTTTATTTAAAACACACACCAACTTGCTGTCCCGCTACTGGTCACCTCATCGGAGTATCTCATGCAAGATGTTTTGCAACAACTCCCTACTTGCTTGAGCAATGGGGAATTGCTTCTCTCCTTTGACAGCCCTGAACAATTGGTAGGAATTCCACATTCCCATGGTGGGAAAAAGTAATTATTACAGAATAATTGAACCTTATGGCGGTACCCCGGGGTACCATAGTACCCCGGCTCCCGCATAATGTCCGTGATGCAGTAATTTTTAGTCTGTTGATGGTCGGCGATGCGGCAATCGACTCATCTCGACGAGCTGTACACGATGCACCACCATGGTGCGTACCGCGAGTCTTCAGGGTTTCGGCGCAATCGTCCTCGCTGCGTTTCGACAGCGCGGAGTGTGGCACCGATTTCGGATTGATTGGTACCCCAGTCGCGGAGTTAAGTACACCCCTGGAAAAAATAGTGTCTCAGAAATAAAATATTTAATTGCCTCGGCCATTTTTCATTAGTTGGTACCCTGAGGAACCGCCATGAGGATCATTGCTAACTTCCTGTAAAGTGAAGTGAAATCAGAGGCAGCCTCATCCTGCTTTTAGAGCAGCAGTATTGGATTGTGATCATCTCTGTTACCATCCAAGAGTAGAAATGTGCACATTCCTCACAAAAGACAATCTTCATTGAGTTCCCATAAAAATAAAAAAATAAACACATTTTAACGTTTATTGCAGGACTCAAACTCAGATGCACCTATTTATAACCAAATTTATTGGCAGATGGAACACTTTTATATGAGATTTCAACCATGGAACGAGTATCGTAGGTAGCATGGGCACGTCCAATTACCACAGCTGGCTACCTACGGTGCGAAATAAGTTTAACATACATACATATGGGCATCGCCACAATAAGAAGTAGTACAATTGTTGAAAAAGAAGAAAGCAGTGGCAGCTGATGGCTCAAACTTATGTTGGTGCGGTGCCGGTGCCGTAGCGGCAAGGGGATGGGCGCAAAGACGGCCTCTTGCTCCCGGCCGCCACACTCTTAAACTATGGCACTGCTTGGGACCTTTTGTGATCAATCGCCGGTCATTAATCTGGCAATATCAGATTTTCTCACCTGCGAAATCCACCAGTGAGTGTGACGATGGTGTCAGGAAGGCGTGAGGAACACGTGTCCTTGATGAGCTCATACACAGCCTTGGCTTCATAGCTGGTCACGGGCTCCATCAAGTCTTCGTGATGGGCCACCCCTAACAAAAGGTAAGAGACACTAAAGAATGGACACAGGCCAGAACACATTCACCATGAACAGGAAACGATGACACATTGGTTCGTGTGCAAGCGCTAGTTTGGATTGGTATATGACAGGGCCATGAGAGATTGACAGTAGCTTGGGAAGGCCTTCATCCAACAGTGGATAAATCATTGCTAATGAGTATGATGATAGCTTATTCTATAACTTTAATTATGAAAGAAAATTTCATCTCACTGGGTTCTCGTAAAATAAAGACGATACGTAAATAATATTTGAAAATAATTGCATCTAATGAAATATTTGCAATATTCTAATTTGGATATGAAAGGAATTCACAAACTTCTACATATTATGTAATTTGCTTGACTATTCCATGATTATACAAGGCTTCAAGATTAGCCCATCATAATTAGGTCTGTGAGATTCGAAGTCTCTCATTAAAAGAAAATTGGGGAAATTCTGGAAACATAAAAAGCAATTTGATTTGGATTATGGAAAAACATGTCTAGACATTGCTGTTGTTCATAACATCCCTGTCGGTGTTTAAACGCCGATTAATGCATCCCAATTACTATTTAACACCAAATGTCAACAAGTGGTGAAATAATGGAGAGACTGGCTTATGCCAGAGGAATTTTGAATTTGCATCAGTGCCTAATGACTGCCAACAGCGATGAGACCACGACCAGGGATAATTTGAGTAGAAACACAAATGTACTTCTGACTTTCTTTAGAACGTTTAACTGACCAGCCATTTCTAGATTCACCAAATTACATATGCATTACACAAGTCACTGGACATGCCCTTTATATATCTATTGTACAATAAACACCCACACATTATTGGGGCATAAAATAGTTGTTAGGTGCAGCCTAGAGTTAAAGATGAAACTCTTAAGGGGAAATAAAGTAAAGCATTGGCTATATTTTTTTTGTTGAGCACATACAAATTTTAACCACCAATGGATGTGGCAAGATTGAGCCAAAATTTCAAATATGGATCAGTGACCCTAGTCATATATGTTTTCCTGGAAGAATTATACTTTGGCTGGGTTTTGCAAATATAATCTGCAGTGAAGCAGTGTTTGTTTTTATCCAAGGAGAGTAATATAGAAGGTTTTCCTGGGTTTGTTTACTCACCTGCCTCTTGCTCCTTGGTAAGCCTTAGATCAGGCTTAGTTCTGACATCCTGCAAGGTTCTAAGTCCATTGTGAAACCACCGCTCTGCCGTCTTGACCCCAACACCCCAGATGCTGGTAAAAAGCTGTGGGAATAAGTGTAGTAATAGCTCGTTATTTATCTAGGAAGGGCTCACACTGAGTCTCAAAAGTATCTCAGATTTGTCATGAAAGGAAATATGTGTCCATCTCCTTGTCGAGAAGTGTTACGGTACGTGTGAGGAAAACCGAGTACCCGGAGAAAACCCGCACACAGTAAACATGCAACCATGGGCCAATAATCCATTTTCTGTTTATTGTTTTAGAAACCACTTTCTGTACTGACATCTCCTGGTCACAATGCAGCCCTGCAGATTTGAGTCGTGCATTTTTGTATGCAATGCAAAAAAATATATTATAATTCATTGCCCCTTGTTACTCCATTGCTGGATGAAGGCCTTCCCACAACCTGTCAGTAATGGGGGTTGTTTAACCATACTTTACCGTGCATCCCACAGCCAGTCGCTGAGGTGTGGGTGGGGGGCGAAGGGGCTGATTCAGATTTCAGACATCATTCGCCACTGAAGTTCACCATGGACAGGAGTCAAACTGATAGTGCTGTGCCTGAACCACTGCACCACCGCACCCCCAATGTGTATGTATGTGTATTTATATAAACAGGCAAGTTATCTCCACAGTTAGCGCTCACATCACTGCAGACAGAGCCGTTCCCCATTATCAAGCGGAACACGTAAACTTAATAATTTCTTATTATTTTTGGCAAACGAGTATAATGCTGTGCGGCTCGATTATCTTCATAATGAACCCAAAGGAATACTGAGCGTGAGCACGAGGTTATTTTTTTTTTAAAGTCAAAACACAGAGTGAACATAAAACAACACAAAATGTATAAACAGAACCTGAAACTAAAAAAGCTGCAAGTATGTTTAATAAACAAGCAGCTGTAGATTGCGGCCTTAAACGGATACAACCCCTCGATGCGGGCAACCCTCGAGTCCACAAAGCACTCTTCAAAGAGAGACGGCGAGCAATTCAAAAGCAACTGCTCACACGGCAGCCAGTCGCGGGCGCCCCAGATGACAGGTGAGGGAACGGAAACACTCTCTCAAAACCCGAAGGAGGCAACGAAAAATAAATAATCAAGTAAACATCAGCGGGAAATGGCACCTGGACGTGCAATACGCACAAACGAACCACATTCGAGCAGTTGGGAATCCTTAAATCTCAGCTCACGGAAGAAGAAAAAAACACATTTGAATTACACGAAGATAGTGTATGTTTACGTTTTGGGTAATACTCGAATTCAAGGTTTGTATACCATTTCAAAAGTGCGCACTGCGTGCATTTTAAAAGAATCACAACTTACGTGAGCAAAACGCTTCTATCACCAGATATTCAGTGACAAAAGGGGGCACACGTTCGTATTGCGAGAAGACTTTTTGACCAGGATTGTCACTTCAGCTGAACGTTCAAAACAGAACGTGACTTCCTCCCAGCAATTCAATGCAATGTATATACATCAATCGTTTAAGGGAATGGCCATCTCAAGACATTCCCCACAAAGGTGGGAGAACATGTGAATTACAATGGTTCAGAAAAGTTAGTTACTTTAATCATGGAATTTATGTTATACTAACCAAGAACTTTATCCACCATTATGCTTGTTTTATTATACGTTACAGCACAATGTCGCATATCTAACCGTCACATATCCGTCCTGTGGCAATTATCGTATTTTCCCGCACATAGCCCGCATACGCATATAACCCACAAAAATTGCGTTTTGTGTAAAACAAATTTCAGATATCCCACACCTCCATATACCCGCAGGGTCTTGTTCTGTTTGTAAAAAGTGGTATACCCCGCGGGTTATATGCGGGAAAATACGGTAACCGCCCACACCCAGTGCTGCAGCTGCTGTGGATGTAGTAACTGTCGTTTGTATATCTTGACCTTTTTCACGTATCTGCCTCAATATCTCAGGCCCAGGCGAGTCGGATATGCAATGTTGAAACGCACGTCAAAATCAAAGTGTTTCTCTCTGGTCAAATGATCAACTGGACGACGCTAATCTCTCGTGGCAGCCAACAGTGGAAACTCCACATGCCCCCGGAGAGATCCTGTCTTCTCGGTAGAGTGACGACTTGTGATTTCTCACACAGTCATATTCCTTTTTTCAAACCTTGAAGGAATAATGGGCTGAGTCGATGCCTGAAAGAGATATAACTCGCAATCTTTCCATTTTGTCAGTCGATGGGGTTTTTAAGACGTGCAGCATTACAAATGCTGAGCAATTACATCTTCTTTATGATAAAACGAGCAGGGAGAGCTGCTCATTGTTTGTGGTCGCCTTGAGCCATGGGTGGAAATTAAGCATTACTATGGTGGGGCCCACCTATTATACAAAGACACAGAACCCCCCGTATAGCCTTAACAGACTGTTGGGACAAGTGCTGTTCGCGAGCACCTATGAAGGCCGGCACGGCAGATGAGGGGATGGGTGGCCGATGTTTACACACTGCACCAGGTACTCATTTGAGACTGAGTCTACCTAGGGGAGGCCCAGGACCGATTCAGATAATCGTCACCGGTGTTGGCCTTGGGCGGGAATCGAACTCGGGTCGCCGGGTTCGTAGTGCAGTGCGCTGACCGCTAAACTACCGCTCCCCACATAGAGACAAAAACAACAACAACAGCAGCCACCATTCGCCACTTAGTGGTGGTGACATCACCACAGCACTTGCGCGAGGCAAGATGCACTTTGAGGCCACGTGAAATGTTGAAGGCTCGCTGGCAGGAGGTCACAAGATAGACAGTTCAGGTGTTATTGGTTGATACAAACCCATAAGGAGGGAGACGGCAACCTTCACGTGGTCCTCCTGTTAAGACAAGTTTTCCCAATTGAGAGCCCTGCAAACTAATGCTGCCAAGAAGGCGACCAAACCCCGGCCTTTGGGCTCCCGGTCGACGCAGTAGATACCCACTGGGAAATGGATTAACTCAAGGACACCAAATCCGAGACATAGGACCAGCAACAAAAATATACCAACTCTGTGTTGAAGTTTCGATTTAAAGCTTTCGTGACTGCAGGGATTCATCTTCTTGGTTCTTTTGGTAAAGTCACGTAGAAGGGAAGTAATGAAATAATACAAATAAAACATAATAAAATAATATTATGTTTTATTAAAACATATCCCGAGCAAAACGCGAGCTACTCGCAGTATAACTTTCTTCCAGGAATGTTGGTGTCGTCACCGTGCGAGAAACTCACCTAGCCAACCACTCCAGCCGCCGAGCTGACATCCACGGGTAGCAACTCATTGCAAGCGGGGGCGCCACTGTGGTGAGATGTTTACTACCTCGCCTGGCATACAGGACGGTCGTGGGTTCGATCCCAACCCTGACGCCTATATATTTGGAGTTTGCATTCTCTCCGCATGGCCAGGTCGCATCTGAAAAGAGCGACATCGCTCGAAGGGCCTTACCTGGCAACATTTAAATAGTTTAGTTTTAGTTTTGACTACTTGCCTGATCTTTATTACACGACCCACAACAGCAATGGCCGACCGCTTATGTGCTGTGCCCATCTTCCCCACTCCCAACATCGCCAAAGTCTCATTCACATCCGCCTCGAATTACCATCAATAAACTCAAAGCCAAAAGCACAGCGGAACCTGCGGAAGGGCAACTGGGAAGCTCACAGCAGATACATAGAAACCATCATTAACCGGATCCGCCCCCCCCGCCCCACCTGGAAAACTAGTCGTTTCACGCGACTTCTGAAGCAATGACTGAACTCCTAACCCTGAGAGATCCATTTTCGGTGGCATCACAACCATTCACTCTGCCTCACCTGAAGCCGTTGAATGGATCGCTAGCCTCGACATCAAGCTATACCCGATTCCCAAGCCATACGAAGAAGAAGACATGCACACGAAAACGCACATGTACATGTACGCAGATCCACACACACGTGCAACACGTGTTGATTCATGCAGCCTCCGAAAACAATTACTATAAAATGTCGCTAAATTGTAATAAGAGCAGCATTTTTGCACAAATATATCGATACATTCTATGTGTGTAACTTTCCCTTGCTCGGATCGCAGAAAACTCAAAGTGTTAACTTAATCGGTCCAAATGCGTGTACTCTGTGATCGGTGCCCAAGAGTCGTCGCATCAAAAGGTACATTCTGGTGACATTGATAAGTCAAGTAGGATTATTAAAAGCAAAACGTTACATTTGAAGTAGAATTTGAAACAACAAAAAAACAAGGGTCGTCTCTCTCGTGCGAAATAATACTCCCCATTTACAATGAAATCCAATTAAGTTGATAACACCGTGGTTTTCATGACGCGCCATATATTAGCTTAATGTCACACATACAAAATGTTACATTAACCGAGGCCCCACGTTAAAGCGGAGAGAAGTGTGAGAGCGGCATTCATCGGGAGACAGATAGGAAGGGTAAGGAAAGCGTTGACCTATATTAATCAACAAGATCCAATTCTGAAATAAACCATCGCAGAACTATACTTACATTAGCTTCACAGTGATGTATGCAGACTATTGCTCTAACCTGTCCAATACTACTTGTGCAAGCATTGCACAATGGCTGAGAAATTTATCGTGGAAGCAACCAGCCGATGAGTGGGGGGCGGGGAGGAGTGCGGGTCCATACTGGCATACACGCGACTGCGCTGTCTCGCTGCCTCCCCAATATGAAACCACTCATTGCTATGCAATCTGGAGGTCCCATGTGCGCGGGTGTTAAGCAGGCTCCGTTGCACATTTAAATCGGTGACAAATGATTACCTGCTTAATGGCATAAACAAACCTTGCAGCAGCAGGACAGATGCCATTTACTCCGCGATGGGCCATTTAAGGCATTAACTGTGGGTTCTGCGGACCAATTAGGTCAATAACCCATTAACACTGACTAATGTGACCTTGGCACATGCGGCGCAGCGTGGCTATGTCGAAAGCGAAAACACGGCAGGTGTTTAAGGCCGATCACACAGATACGTCTTTTGAAGGAACCGTTTATAAACTACAGGGTGATCGCAAACAATATATGTTCTTGGTGGATGCAACTATTTATTGCAAAGATAAAGGCAATCTGAAGCAAGCTGATAAGCCCGTCCGTCAAAGAGAGCCTTCATTTTGTTTACGGTAGAGGACATTACACAGCAAACGTTGCTGTTATACCGTACTTATATGCTCCCTACCGCCACCAGCCAGCACTGACCAACGTGGGGACGCATCGGCAATAACCCCCAAGACTTGCACAGCTTGGGGGAGGCTCTCATCCAGCAGTGGATTGACAAAAGGTTGTAAATGTTCATGTTCTGAGGGGATCCCAAAGAACGAAATAATTGTCAAACAAGTGGTTATATATATCGATGTACATCTTAGGCACACACAAACAAATGCACTTAATGTTACTGATATGTAGCATAACGTTACATTAATGATGCTTTATTGAAAATGTTTTGTTGGCAATCTTGCCAAAAAAACTGAATTGATCTGGCCACTGGTAAGTGCTAAGTTTCATATTGCAATTTAAGGATTTTCTTGCTGAGGTGAAAACATATGAAAGTTTCCTTGGACAGAAAGGACAAACATAATGTTTCCTGGGTAAAGCAATAAGTAGACTATCATTGCCTAAAATTGTATACAATTTTTTTTTTATTACAGCTAACCCTGGGAAAAGATATGATTTTCAATATCAACACTAGGGGGGGGGGGGGCAAACTAGATAAAACTGTGCTGACATTAAGTGAAATTCACTGTTTGATATTCATCTGCATCCTGCATTTGTGCGTCGCTACGTTGCATTGCCTACACCGGCATGATATCAGCATCGGGAATCGGCATTTAATGAGCATCCTTGAGGGTAAACAATAAACATGTGATGCAAACTCCATAACAGTAACTCGCAACATGACTTGTACTACACCTCTCATTGACGTTATGAATTTAAAAATATGTATAAATGTGCACGACGGTCAATAGTTCATCACAGCCAGTGCTGATGATGCCACAAATCACCAGTGCTTGGTTTGATGTATGTACGCAAGTTTAATTTCTTTCGCACTGTACGTAGCCAACCGTGCTAATTGGAGGACAACAAACTTATCATAAAAAGCAGTTCTAAAGAAATGAGTTTTCAATCTAGATTTAAAAGTGCATAGCTCCAGTGGCTTCCTAATATCCGACGGAAGAGCGTTCCAGACGGCCACAGAAGCAGATCTGAAAGCGCGCGATGCAGTGACTGTCTTTGTTCGATGGCTAGCCAAAGGCTCCTGCGAGGACGACCGGAGTTCGCGTGATGGTTTATGATGAGATCAGCAAGGTATTGTGATTCATACGTGGCAAGCACTTTGTGTTTAATGAGTGTGACCTTATAATGTATTCATTGAACAAGTGGAAGCCAATGCAGCTCAGTGAGCACGGGACGGACATGGTCGGATCTTGCAGTAACCGTCACGACACGTGCGAGAGAGTTTTGTACACGCTGCTGCTTGGTAATGTTTTTGCCAGATGTCCCGTAGAGTAGTGAGTTTCAATATTCAAGCCTTGTCGATGCTTTGCGACACGCCACGGTGTTGGCTATGTCACGACTCAATAGTGGTCAAATGTGTTGTCGAGTGAATAAGTTGATATCCCATTCATTCAAATGGTTATCTTATAACAGTGGATTATTGGCCACATTATGAAATTGCAACCGCGAAAGATATGTCACCTCGAGTGGTACCGACAGGCGACGTACTGGGCCTGGGCACATGGATTGACATCTACAAACATTTTTGACCATGCGCTATTCCGAACCTCTAAGTTACTTAACCAATACTGATAAAAAAAAACAATTCCCGCCATTCTTCACATGAGCTGATACTGAAGGAGCAGAAGATGTGTTTTTCTTTGTTGCTCTTTACTGATTTCCAATAAAGGTTGAAAGCGTATATTCATTAGCCCCATCTGTCTGTCCATAGCACGAGGGCACTATAATTCTTGCAAAGATAATACGATATGAACGAACCTGTAGCAATAACTTTTCGTTGCTATTTGGGACTTGCCTAACTAAAAACTACCCGAACTGATCACAGGGTTGCCCAATACTTGGAGACATAAACCAGAGGGAAAAAAGGGCCTTATTTGCAAATAAGCACATGTGCTTTGGCCTGCCAAGCTCGCTACCTATTGGCCTCCATACCACTGATGAAATACTTTTGAGGACAAACACATGTCGTAAAGTAGAACATAACCATGAATGATTTTTCTTAACTTGTTTATTCTAGGTGAGGGGCATACAGATTCTCCAGAGGAAGAGGTGCTGGAAAGACTTTGCGGATGAATGTAGATAATCGTCAAATTGCTTGCGTGGGTCACCATTACAAAAGGACATCAAAATGAATTTTGCACAGATAAAAAAAGTGGCACGACGCTCAAAGAGACCGCACCGTTAACTGCACTCTTTCCACTCCACAGCCGAGCAGAAGCAACGCCAATGTAGCAATGAGCTGTGTTGGACTTCGCGCTTGATTGCTTACAAGTGACAACATCGCATTAATCCCTCTATTTAAGAGCGAAATAGGAGGATTGTTCCACAATTCTGGCTGTTGTCTGATGATGCTAGTTGTAATTACCAGCGAAACGTCGTACTCGAATTGTAAATGCTGTGGGTTTACTCTCCAACACACCGGTGTTCTGAACTAGTAACCTTACTAACTGGCTGTGTCGGGTGGCGGCAGGTTTAACGACATATTTATATTTATGCGATCTAACCCCAAAAAAACTCTTTCATGGATAATATTGGTCGAGAAAGCCTCCTATGTGTTTCACTGCTTGAGCACAATGCATGTTGTTAACTGCTTCTCAATGGACGAGCAGATGACATGCAAAAATGCCTAAAACATTAAGCCACTTAATTACTTTATTATTATGCTTTCAGCACTTCTTAATAAATTGCTCCAGATTCAGAGCATCGCTTGACTGTAAGCCAAATGGGAAACGGTTTTCAAAAGGCTGTTTGTTTCCGTTCTGGCATTAACGGATGACATGTCGTGGCTTTTATTTTAACATTCTTTAAATCCCCAATTTTAATCCATTTCTGCAATTGGCATCATGTGCCAAGATGAAGGACTGTCTTTCCAGGTCGCAACACAATGAGCAGTGCATCACATAGCAATGAGATGATGTCAAGGAAGATAACATCCCATGAGATGATGTCTCGGGAACTACTCCTGTACTAGTAAAGGACTCGATTAATCGACTGCATGTTGACCTTCCATGCCAGTGATTCTCAACCTGCTCTGGTCTGCGGACCACTGGTCTTCCGCAAGGCCCTGGGAAGTGGCCTCCAGGAATCTTGTCAGAACCTGATCTCTCTTTCACAAAACGCTCCATCGTGGTTCACGAAATGTTCGCTTAGGGTTGACGGTGGTCAAGTGGAGCCAGAGGTTGGCAACCACCAAACTACGGCGCCACACAGAGTGTTCGTCATGTGAGAAACAACATTTATTTAAATTGTCTCCACTGAAATATACGAGTAGAAAAAAAAACATTTTAGAAATATACAATTAAACCTCTTACCTGTGAAAAATCATCACAATTTGAGAGTATAAAGATCCACTTTTTTACAAATCGTATACAATAATATATCTTCCGCATACAATTATGTCACCGCACATGAGTTTGTCCTGTGTGTCAGTTACTACCAACTCTATTGTCAAAAATGTTATTGGTTGTCTTGGAAACGTTTTATGATCATAAGTTCCATGTGTGCTACCCATGTGAAGTGCACTATTCAAATGTGATTCCATTGGCCCATTGGGATTTGTTTTTACTTGGGTGAGGTGCAATATCGAGTGATAACATGGCGGTGGTGTTGATGATGATGGGCCGGGGTGGAGGGGAATTTCTCTTAGCAGTGTGGCCATGGAAAAATGTTGATAATAGGATAAATGTAGCTCTACTTCCAGACGGCTCTTATGGCTCATGGAAATCCCCAAGTAAAAGTTATAAGAGCTTTTTGGGTTAGATCGCGTAAATATATAAACGTGTCGTTAAAACCCGCCACCACCCGACACAGCCAACTAGTAAGGGTTGTCACATAAACAGAACGTGCCAATTCGTCACTAGTACAGCACACCGGTGGTTTGTAAATGTTGTGGCTTGGCTCTCCAACACACCGGTGTGCTGTACGAGTGACGAATTGGCCACGTTCTGTTTACGTGACAACCCTTACTAGTTGGCTGTGTCGGGTGGTGGCGGGTTTTAACAACGCATTTATATATTTACGCGATCTAACCCAAAAACCTCTATAATGGATGATCAATATGATACTTCTTTTGTATAGTGGTTGATAAATAGGCTGAGATTATCAACTCATCACACTTGTGAACCTACTTCAATGATGGGGGACTGTCTGGAGTATAGCCCAGGATCTCAGTTGGCTGTGTGTGTCTGCGGCATGAGCTCTCCGAACAACCCGGTGTGGTGTGCGTCTCGCTTTACCTTCATCGTTCTGTAGTGTTCATCGCAAAGCACACGGTTCACCTCCGGACAGGATTGTTCTTCTAGAAGCTCCTGTGTGATACATCAATACAAATTAAAACGTACGAAAATAAAATCTCAGTTTTCGGCTCCAGCTCTCAAAACGGTGTTAGACCAAAGGACGCCAAAAGGCATCCTCTGGTCTAACACCGTTTTGAGACGAGGCTCAAAAGAAAGCTGTCTCTGGTGTGGACCAATCAGTTTAAAAGACAATTCATATATTATCAGAGTATGCTTTTTGTTTACATTTTGACCACAAGTATTGTGGTTAATGCAGACATGATTCCTTGTAAAAGGTTTCAGTTTGGTGTTTTAACATCTTAACACCTGGTTTGTTGCCATAATAAAGGGGAAAACCTATTCTCACTTGCATTGTCTTTGCTGTAATCGAGTTGTATGTGCTGTAAACCTTACAATTCAAAATGTGTCATCAGCAAAAAGTCTCAGGGATGGTAACACATGGATTCGTAAAACACAAGTGTGTTTTTTTATCACAGGAAATTAACATTACACGTAATATATTACTTCGCTTGTTTTACAATGGAAAGCCTCACCCGAGTCTCAAGACTCTTTTTTTAGGAGGGTCCTGCCAAGTTTCCACAGTAGGAGGGTGATGTTGCTATTGCGTGTAATCTCAGCTCAGCAAATTAGCAGGTTATTTTTCAGCACTGGGATGTTTTTGGTCAATATCAATTTGCTCGGTTAGTTAGAACGCACCTCCGGTTAGCACGGTTGGTTACGCATGGTGCAAAAGAATTTCAACATACATACAAGCATACATGAATTGTGTTAAAAATAAAACATAACAAAATAATTCTCACGACGTTTCGGCCACAACGCAAGCAGCCGTCCTCAGGTGAAGAACAGGTCTGTCGGAAAGACGGCGTCTGACAGACCTGTTCTTCACCTGAGGACGGCTGCTTGCGTTGTGGCCGAAACGTCGTGAGAATTTTATTATGTTTTATTTGTATTATTTTATTATTTCCCTTCTACGTGACTTTACCGAAAGAACCAAGAAGATGAATCCCTGCAGTCACGAAAGCTTTAAATCGAAATATGAATTGTGTTGTTGTTTTTTTGCTGTGGCATAAAACCGGAGAACACGAAGGAAATTTGTGTAGAACAGGGGGAGAACATACAAACTCCACACAGAGAGCAAAATCGAACCCAGGATCTTAACATTTCACCGATAATATACAATTACGAAATAATCAATAAGAAAAAGACTTGGACTTGAGGGATGCAATAATACTCGCTAAAGAAAAAAAACCTCGCCGGAAATTAGTTTGCTATTGAGCCAACAGAAAGGACAGATGACGATGATACCAGTATAGCAAATTATTTGGTGATATTGGGTTGGCAGTGCTGCTCAAGCACAAATAAAAACTCAACACATTCATCAATAACAGTGCCTTAAGATGAAAACATATTTTAAGGCAGTGTTATTAAAGATACTGATGTGGGGGGACTTTTTTTTTCACCTGATAAAACTTAAGCTCAGTCACAAGATTACTTGAGGGACCTGACTGAGGTGTTTGGCAAAACTCCTTTGCACGTGAGAGAGAACCTATGTTCTCAGAGATAATCCATGCATATGTATGATCAAGACACATCCACATAAGTACTCTGCAGTCTATTTGCTGTACGTTCAGGTGGGTGTCTAAAGTTGTAGTCGTCAATCAGTGCAACTTTCCTGCACCGACCTTTGTTGCGATGTTCAAATGTTGCACAACATCCCATGTTAAACAACGCAACAATGTTGCTGCTTCTGTTGTGCATTATATGTGCTTACTCGTGAGTCATTCAACTTCATCAAGGCCCAAGTATTGACCGTTAATAAATTACAGGCAAGGCCCTGCCCCTGCCCTCCCCTCTTGTCTAGGTAGCTGAGCCCAGATAGCCTGGCATGGTATCTAGGCAAGGAAAGACACCTGCTAAAGGGAAGGCACATTTTCGATAAGTTAATTGAAAACGAACGCATGCGGGGAGAATAACTAACGTGCCTCCTCGAAACACTGCCGATGCATTCATCTGGAGGTGATAATGACTCTCTATGGGCGTGCAGCAAAAGAGCAGCTTCATTGCCAACTTTCCTTTCAAACTTCATGCATCAAACTCATAAAAATTCAATGAACATTAGAATCGTGCGAGCCAAAGAAAACATTAAAATCCCTCCTGTTTTAAATCAGTATCTCAAGTCTGTGCCAAGCATTTAACTTTTCAATATATTCTTTGCAGAGAAACGTATTTCATTATTTATTTTTCATTAGCGACACTCATTGGTTATGCATTCACGCGACCAGTCATTTCACGCCCGGGAACTCCGCGGACACATCTGACAATGACCCCTTGGCTCCGTCACTTGACGGCAAACGGAGAATCGCGGACCACACTCCTGTCAATTAAAATTGCGCGGAAAAAAATCCACCGTTGAGAAACGTTACCCTCGAGGTGACACTGTGCTCTCCCGTGCACTCCGACCCTTGTCAGTGCCCACAAATTCAACCCAGTTCGCTTACACAGAGAGCCTTGGTTGTGCCGTATGCCGAGCTGAACGGCGCAGTGGTTGCGGCGTTCCACTTATAATTGGAAGGACACGAGTTTAAATCCTGCTTGAAGGCTGACTCGGCCTATCGTCCCAGCGTCAATAAAATGTGAACATCGTGGCTGGATGTCAATGGTGGTTGTCCGATATAGACTGACCACTGCCATATAAATCTCACCACCGGCTCAGGGCCTCAGACTTGTTTGAGCGCGTGTAAGCACTTTTACATTTTTAGTTGACTTGATACACATCTGCCGAAATGTAATGAACAAAAATGAAATATTTGTTTATTTTCCTGCTCATAACGTGACCTGAACATTAAAGAGAAAGTGCGGGTATCCATCGATATAATACATTATTATGGAACAGATACGTTCGTGAAAAGTTGTCGTAAAGTGAAATTCTGTTTATCGAAACCTATTTTCCTATTGATTTCCATTATATAATTGGAGGTGCGTTCCTACGGAAAACATTTCAGCTCTAAGATGTAATAAAATCACACTCATGGAAGTAGAAAACCTTTTAAAAGCACATTTTTAATGGCAAACTAACAAAATTTCAGAATGAAATATTCGTAGTCAAAATAAGTAACGAAATAAAAAAAACTAATGCTACACAGTACTATCCACGAACTGTGGTGATCACTGTGTGAGGTTGGAGGTTCGCACGTGGCACTGTGCTACACAGTAGGTGCCAGGTGTGATGAGCACAAAGGAGTGCACCAAAAACAAGCTTCAGCTTAGGCAGCACAAAGAGCATGGGAAATCGGTACAATACGAAAAGCACGCCACGCATATGACCTGGAGCGGCAAAAAATGGAGACAGGGAGAAATGACAGACCGTGCATCTTTCTATAATTTCGAGCATTAAAAAAAATGCGTTAATGCTAATTTAATAGAGCGCACACGAAACATGTTCTCTAATTTATAAGTTACGTTATGGCGAAATTCCATATACTGAGTTGCTGTATAACAAGGGATGCCTGTATATTCAAGACTAAATCAGAATGAATATAGTTGAAGGTTATAACTAAAATTATGCATCTCCAGCTACGGAGAAAGCGCCAAGGAGCTTTGATTAGTTTAGTTTTGCTTTAGTCGCCCGTGTGCGAGCGTTTAAAATAAAATTCTCTACAATTTCACGTTACATTTCCACTACCATTGTTTGTTCCAATAAAAAAAAATCTCTGCATTCACTTCTTTTAGAAATGTACAATTTTAAGAAAAATAGCGATGAAATCTATCACGAAAAAATTCGACAAAGAATGACCAATTTCGTTCTGTGTTGTGCTGTTGCAACGGGTAGTTTTTTCTCTCCTGTTCTTTATCTGACAAGGGAAGGCCAGTAATGCTGAAAATGCCACAATATGACCACCCGCAGAGTTAAAAGCAATTGTTACATTGGCATTGCACTGTATTGCCATGAATTATAGATAATCTCTATTATGGTTATTTCTTGGCCAATGTGTTTGACTCAGAGGTGGATCCAGGATTTGCATTTTGGGCGAATGAGAGTAGGAAGCAAACCCTTTCCTTCTCCATTCCTCTCTCATTTCTCCGCTTTCCACCTGCCAACCCCAACATCGGTGCTTTTAACTTTCCACACTGCAGACCGATTAATTGAATTCGAATAACCTCTCGGGTCCTTTCTTTTCTTACTCCCACCAAGCTTGTACCATTTTCACCCCTCGACCCACTTTTCCGTTCAATATTGTAGTCCAACTCAAACTGTGCAACGCAGAACCCTCAGATTAATTATTTACGGTAACAAGAAAAGATCCAGCCTGGGTGGCGCTGTCGTTAGAGTGCCAGCCTCTCAATCGGAAGGTTGCAAGTTCAATTCCTTGTTGGGAGCCAACTCAACAGCGGTTGTCCTACATAAAGACTTTTCCTCCACTCGAGAAATGCAGAATTTTCTGTGAATGTCTTCGCTGCGGAGATGGATCCATGAAATATCAGCTGGTGGCTGGAGCGTTGCATTGCAGGACTCTGAGATATGGCAATGGTTTGAGAAGTCCTCAATCCAGTAGTGAAGTGATCCTGGTTGGTGATGATGGATCAGATCTACCAATAAAATGAACACAGCTCCACTGAATTAAGCATGGACGCACTCTGACTTCGAGCGTACACCTATTACATGACAAACAGTGGCCCACATCGAGAGACCAATTAAACAAGACATATTTAATAATCGTATGCAACACTATGAGAGCTGCTGCATAAATCACAGCCGCTTTATTGCTTTTCCGCCACATGCTTGGTTATGCTCTTGTCCTGCATGTCCCCATCGTAAGCGTTGATCATATTGGTCAAATGTTAACAAGGACGTATTCAGCACGGCATCACGTTGCTGCTTCTATGAAATGGTCAAATGAATTAGGGGTTAATTAAAAATAGTAACATCTTTTTTTTTTTACTCCTGTAAATATTCAGCTGACTGGCCTTGTTCAGAAATTTTATTTTTCTTGAAGAAGGCTTGAAAACAAATTCCAAAAGACGAGTGACCCGAAACATAACAATAATAACCATCTACTGCATATTTACGTATATATTTATTGTTAAGCTGTTTCCCAATAAACGAGACAGGACAAGTATCTACACTGCAGGCGGCTGGCAAATTCCAAATCATACCCACAAACTGGATATATTCAGTTCAGTAGCCGTCTGTATTGCCATCTCGAGAATGGACCTACTGTGACGTGTGGTGACGTGTGGGTTTGCCTACTTTTCCCCTTTGCTCCCCTATCTGGTGAGAATGGAGTAGTGGATCGCCTGCCATGTGTCCAAGGATCACTTTTATCTGTAACTTTTACCGCATGACTGCAAATCCACTTTCAGCAGTGAAGCACTTAGTCTACGTGTGTTTGTTATGGTTTTCGTGATAGACGTTTCTTTTTTTATTTCTGTGTCTTGATGAAATTTAATGGTACGTTTATTGCCGAAAGTACAACAAGAATCGATGGCAAAAATAAACCCTTTACCTTCCACCTATTACATATATATGAAAAAACATAAAACACTGAGATTGGATGACCATCACATTGTTGTATGCCAGCAATGATTTTTCTTTATCTTGGCTGCACAGAACGGGTGGCTGCCTAAAGCTGGCTTCACTGAAAGTACCCACGTGGTGCATTTAGGGCTTTTGCCTTTTTTGCAGTCACCGGGAAAGTTGTGGAATCTTGTTTACCGCTTAAAGGCATTTCTGGGATCCAAACCTAACCATCTGTTTGGAAAATGACGAATAATAAATTAATAGAAATGTCCCGCTTAGAATGATGAACTCTTAATTTTTGGCACCAATCTCGAATACAGTTCAGTATTATCCTACCAATAGGATATCAGTAATATGTTGCCCTCAACTGGCCAATTCATGGCATTGAAATAAAAAAATAACCCCACACTCAGTTGAACGTGGGGCTGTGGTGGCTGTGGTGGATCTGAGTCAGCGGTGTGAATCCTGCATTCCTAAGGTGGGTGCCAAGATGGGTCTCAGATTACCATTATTGACTTCCTAAAAGGTAGCAATAGTTTTATTGGCATTGGTGGGATCATGGTCTGAGTCAACGCCCAACTAAGATATGAACTTGCAACCGTCCAATTACTGCCAATTAAACCTACTAGCTTTCGCAGTAAACATTACTTCTTGGTCAGACAAAATTTTACCAGGAGCACGAGATTATTTTGTTATGACCATTGCATAGTAGCAAAATAATAATTCAACTTGTAACACGCACAATATTCACTCACTCTCAAAGACAGAATGACGCGAGGAACCACAAATAGGAAGACAATCACCCAGTGAGCCGGCACCAATAATTGACCAAGCTCAGTGATGTGCTACATAGTAAGGTGTTATTGGCCAATTTACATGTGAGAGGAAACCAGATTTGTGCATTACTTTTCACGTACGCTTTTGTCACTCAAGACTGTTTAACAATTTATTGCATGGAAATCCAACCAAAATATTAGCATCCAAATCAGCAATATTCCAAAATGTGTTTTTAGAAATTACAACACAACGGTCTATTTTTTAATTGGTTTCTGAGATGAGATCACCATTCATAGGAGTGGCTGAAACCGGGATGTGAACCCACAAACCTCAGCATTGCTGGCCCAATGCACACCAGCCCCTAAGCCACCTGACCAATTATATTGAGTACTACCACACAGCTACTGCCACCTTTGCCTAGAACACTTGATTAACTTGGAAGTGTGCTTTAATTATAAATGGCTAAGGGACCAAGGTTCGAACCCAGTCTCTCAGCATTGCCAGTTCAGTGTGCTGACGTGGGCATTAGCCTCCCCCCTTCCCCGAGTCAGTCAGCCGCCCAACCTCTACTCACCGCATCCTATCCTTACCTTGATGACAGCGCGCGAGTGCTCGCCCACTCCCGGCAGCCCGTCCAGGTCCCGCACACTGCTCAGGGGGCTTGGCAGTGATTTGAGGACACATGCTGCCCGTGTGAAGGCCAGGGCCCGTCCATCACTCTCGCCGAACCTGGCATTCTCTGCCAGGGTCTGCAGGGCATCCTGAGCTCATGCAGAGGCATGTGGGCGCATGGACAATGGCACACAAAATCACAATCCAAATCAATCTAACTCCGTTTAACCGGGGCACACCCCCCCTTCGTCCTCAAATACAATTTCAGGGATGACTTTGGCAAGTGCTAGCTAGAACTCTGCCTGAAAGTGCTATTGTACCACTGGCATCATTAACAAATGCTACCTTATCGAATCCTGACAGCAACGAGTGCTTAAAATGGGTTCTCGTGTGGAGTGAGTTTGGCAAGCATCAACCCGGTAACCAATGACTGCACAAAGACCAATCTTAATACGTTTGGTTTTGAACTTAATTTGGCAAAAATTCCAGCTCTGAGAATTAAAATATCAGTTTGCGTATCACGCGGTGAACATTCCGATCAATTGCAGAGCGGCTGCAAAAATTCTGCCCTCTACCGTGTGGACCAGAGGTCAATGGAAGGGATGTCAGCAGCAGCTCTGCGATGTCTCCTTCCATGTGTTGAGTAGTTCCTGACGTACGTACTCGGAGACGGAGGTAAGTTAGGGGCTTTCGCCAGGGTTTATTAAAGCGTATCAATACTACACAGGGTACACAACTCCCAGGGGCTAGGGGTCCTACTCTGAGTCCGGGTCCCTGCCGGCTAGCTCCGGTCTCTCTCTCTCTCGTGTCGGATCGTGGAGTCTACCGACTCCACCGACCGGAGAGAGAAGCACCTCTACGGCTACCACCGGCTTCTCCCCAGACTCCCTATTCGACCCCTCTCTCTATCCCTGGTTCCCTCTTCACCCTGTTTACTTTCCCCGTTCCCACAGTGACCCCGCTTACTTCACGGGGTATCCCTTAAATACCCTAGGAGGGGTGACGTCACTGTGCACTGCCCAGCGCGCGCGACCCCACGTCCCGCGATGTCATCGCACCGGACAGCGCACACGACGCCACCACTCTCTTCTACTCCTCTACACATGGACGGTCGTGCGGCACTGCAAGAGAGCCAACTGGATTCATGATCACATTACGCCACAGCAGACGGGATAAAATGGTGGCGGGGTGGGGGGGGGGAGTGAAAATAACACCATCTTTTAACTTGATCATGTATATGTCCAGGTATAACGTGAAGTATGAGATCTGGTCATATGTTCTATGAAAATACTGGACCCTGTTTCAAGAAAGTGAAATTTGCACTATTGGTTCAGCCACCAACAGGCATGAGTATGGCCCCATGCTCATCTCAGCAGAGATATACTTTGACGTAATATCTAAGATCTAGGTATATTATTTTCGCTGTCTTGAACATTGCTGGAGTAATACATTTTGAAATGTATGTGTTAAGCAGATATTCCACAATAAATCTTCATTTTGAATCCCATTATGTAAATAAAGATTGCCATATATGAGGCCTTTACATTTTGGGCAAACATACGTAAGAAATTACATTGATTCATCACTTTAGCCAAATGACCTCCATTTTGCAAATTCAAAATCCAATTCCTGCATCAATTCCATTGTAATGGCCATCAGTCAATGTCATAGGGTCACCATCATTTGGGACTTCCTGAATTAGGTTTCCAAATGACAAATGTTTGAATGTGCATGTGGAGTGAATTTGTAGGTGACCAATTTACACACAGTTGTAAACGTATTTTAATTTGGCATTTTATGAAGATAGCAATGCTGTTTGTTTATCCAGTCAAGCCTCACTCAGCCTCAAGACTCGTTTTCGAGAGGGCCTTACATTTGGACATTTTTACATACAAATGCAAGAAATTAGAATGCCAGAGAAAACTCAACATATACGAGGCGAACAAACTCGAACATCCGCACGTTTGGGTTAGCGAAACCAATCTCTGACCTGATATCTGCTGGTCACAACACAGCCATGTAAGTAGGAGAATTGAAGACATCAACGTGATCCATAATCACAATGGTTACAAAAGCAATCGCTTGTGTTTTGCTTGTATATTTTCCATATTAATAATAGGCTGCAAGGCATTAATATGGGATATATGATGAGTATGTGGTATTCTTAGGTTTTTTCAGTAAAGTCACGTAGGTAAAAAAAATTAAAATTAATAAAAGTAAAATAAAAAAAAATAAAAAAATCACGACGTTTCGGAGGCAACACAAGCTTCTGAAACGTCGTGATTTTTATTTTTTATTTTTATTTTACTTTTATTAATTTTAATTTTTTACCTACGTGACTTTACCGAAAAAACCTAAGAATATTAATCCTTGCAGTCACGAAAGCTTCAAATCTAGAGTATGTGGTATGTGATGTATATGTGTATTAGAGTTGAGAAAATTCTCAATTCCTAGCCAAAAATTGTGATTCCATGTTTTTATTTGAAACACAGACTTTCACGGAATTTTAGGATCAGCAGAATCGTAGAATGTTGGGGAGGAAAGGCATTGCGGACCCCTTCGTGAAATTCGGGCAACGAAAGAAAACAGAGGGCCCATGGGGCCAGCACGGCCTCACGGAGGTTGGCCCATGCGTGGCCGAGATGCATGGGTCAGCTAATTGTAAAGCCATGGCTTCATATAAAGGTAGCTGCTCCATGCATCCCTGCCACGCATTACCTGGGGTAAGACCCCATGGGGTGTAGGCAATACATTTTTGACCAATTCAGGGCGGTCAGGCTGACATTCCAACCGCCCATTCTATTGCACGAAAGTGCCATAGCAGAGTCCCTGTTAGAATGCTAATCAAATCAAGGGAAATTTTTACTTGGAAATGACCTGCAAAATAAGCATCATTTATGCAGGAATCATCCATCCAGAAAGAATGATTCCTATAGAAATCTCCCAGTTCTACCTTATACAAAAAATAAATACACTTTCTGCATGTAACATTGGTATGTGCTTGGCAGTAATGACCATCCTGAATGAATAGCGCGCCTTAAACCCCGAACATTTCCTTTAATTATTTACTACTGATATATTATTGTTCTATATCAATGTATCCATCACTTTCATTACACTTCATCTAAACTAGATGATCTCATTTTTCCTTTTTGCAGGACAACATCTTGCAATTACCATTTTTCACAGCCGTCATTTCTTAACACTGACAAACTACCTGTAATTGGGTCCCTCTCGACAACAACATCAGCAGTAGCTGTTAAAAAACATTTGCTTACATGAAGACTTAAGACTCTAGTATGTACACACACAATGACAAAAATATTTATAAGTTGCTGTTCGCGAGCACCCAAGGTCGATGTGGCACGTGAGAAGGAGTGGTAAGGGTCGAAACTACGTACGCCCAAACGCCTTTTTCTCTGCCAGTGCCAAGTGGATAACACCACAACCATGTACTTGTAGAATAAACTCAAACTGGCCGAACATCTCAATTCTGAAAGAGAGGCCTTGAGTCACTTGAGATTAAACTGCAGCGGTGGAGAAGACATTGCCTGTAGCCACATGAGACCAACCACCACAAAATGTCTGGTAAACAATGTCCACCCATCACTGCAAGCATTTTAGTTGCACTTATCTGGTACTAGAGAAGAACATTATGGTAAAATCATGGCAACACTGTATTTCTAAATTTAGTGCATTCAGTCCCTTATGTTACTGCTAGTGCATCATGCAATCACAGGACTGACTGAGGTGTATGTTAAGCTGTGCCCCACCAAAGGTTGTTGAAAGTCCTATTTGGCCCTCAGTAAGGAAAAGGTTCCCAACTCTTGCTTTACAGGATAAACAATCAACACAATATTAAAAGTATGAGCGGAGTCCAACTAGGAGATATTCAAAGCCGGCTTCAATGGTGTTCAACATCGTCAGGAATTGAATCTATACCACTGCCATCTTTGGCTCTATTTTATATGAACACACAAAGACAAAGATCCTCATTTTCGCCTTACAAATCATTACGGAAATTGGTTTTAGCTGGCACCTGTTAATACCAGCTTAGCACATGCAAGCCTTAATGGTGTTGTACTGCCCAGCGCTGATGTTGATCTAGGCGGTGCCGAGGACAGGTTCAGATAACAATTGAACTTAGGTCACTGGGATTTCAGTGCACTAACAACCACTACATCAAAGATCTCCTGCATACCCTTTAACAGACTGTTGGGGCAAGTGCTCTTAGCCAGCACCTATGAAGGTCGACACGGCACATTAAGGAGTCGGTGGCCAATACTACGCCTGGCAGCATTTGTCTCTCCAGCACTTGTATACACACCGCACCAGTTACTCATTTAAGGCTCAGTCGACCTATGAGAGGCCTAGGAACAGTCCAAATATTAGCTGCTGTAATTGGTAGTGAGCAAGAATCGAACTCGGGTTGTGGGGTTGGTAGCGCAGTGCGCTGACCACTGCGCCACCGCTCCCCATACATACACAACAACAACCACCATTCGCCACTAAGTGGCGGTGACGTCACCAGGACGCTTATGCCAGGCTATGTGCACGTTGAGGCCACCAAGTGTCGAACGCCCGCTGGCAGGTCATGGGGCAGACCCAGGTGCTACGGGTCGACTGACTGAGATGACTGGCTGATGCACCATCTGTGCCCCCTACTGTGCCAACTTGCTGTGCTTTAGCCACCCGGCACTCTGCTTGTTGTTGTGAGTGTCGCTCCTCCGCCCTCCGTTGTTGTAGGAGGACGACTGCCTCCAACTTCCCAGTGGCATCCTTCACGAGCCTCCTCCACAGAGGCCGATCTTCACACCACTGTAACCAGTCATCGGCAAGTCCACTCAGCTCCACATCCTCCTGTACCACATCACTCCATCTCTTCTCTAGCCCGTACCGCGCCCATTTAGCCCTCTCGATCCGGCCGACCAAAAGCTGTTTAGGCATGCGGTGGCTGGGCATGCGGGCTACATGACCCAGCCAACGCAGCCTTGCCTGCCATAGGAGCTCACTGATGGGACTTTGTCCAGATCTTTCAAGGATTTGTGAGTTCCTCACACAATCCAGCCTGCTTAAACTCAAAATGGATCGTAGGCAGGCCAGCTTAAATGTTTCTAATCGGCGAAGATGTTCCATTAGTGGGGTTCAC